TTTGTTCACTGCGATATCAAATTATACGAACTGAATAAACGGGTATAGGCCGTCGCCCCGTACGTCCAATTATTATTAAGGAAAGGCGAATTGGTGGCGCGGTGCAATTATAAAAAACGGGTAACCTAACCGATGCGCGGCGAACAGCGAGTATATTACATTTGTTATACTTAGGTACACATACCTTAGATCGTATTATTATTGTTATTATTGTACTGTTGTATCATTGTCGCGAATTACGTCACATTTTACACGACCGGTCGGAACGCAGTACGGTCCGATCGCGTGTCCGCCATTTAATAATATATTATTATTAAACGTCGGTTCGCGTTTTGGCGTTTGGCTCAACAAATTAAAATATTCTATTTTTTCAGTCAATCTTTTATTAGTATGGTTTTTTTTTTTTTTAGAATTCAAGGAGATAAATTTAAAAACTGGGAATGTCGATCTCAAGTAGACTCCATGACAAATTCAAATCTGTTTTCAGAATTCTTATCGCTTCGCTAGATCAATCGGTACGTTGGAATTAAAACACGTCTGAATCCCTACATCTCACACGAGTGAGACAAACACAGAAACTCGTAGCTTCCATTTTTATTGACAGCCTTTATATGCGGTGCTCACCGAGTCGAAATTCGGTAACGCAACGACAAAAAACGATAGTGGCATAATTAGTCGACGCGGCGGTGGAAATTCGCGGTCAGATTTACCTTAAAGGCGCACCTTGGCTAATGAAAAATAAGCCCCTACTTCGTAGAACAAATGCCCCTTTTCAATTTATTTACCGATTTTATGTGTCTACATAAAAATGTTCGGGCCGCGGCCCGTATTAAAATAAAATAAAATATGCTCATTGTCAGCGCGTCCAAGTTGAGTCCTGGGTTTATGCAGGTAGTTTACTAGTCGTTTATTACCGTAATATTAACATTAACCTTCAATGCCCATTGAAGCAAACATGCAACATGTTAAAATAATATGTTTCCACACTACATACGGATTACAACAAATGTGGTGCGCCGTCTAACGTATAGTTGAAGTTCTAATCTATGTTTTATATTGAAACATACATGAAAACGTTATCAATTCCCGTTTTGTAACGTGTATCAAACTTGACAACGTAATTTAGTGGTTTTTCTCTCGTATGGTTTTTATTGTCTTAATTTGCAAAATGTGCTTTGGTGAAAAATACTGTTTTAAATCATCGGAGATGAAACTTAAAATTATTATAAGGTTTATATGAACATTCAAAACACACAAATAATTAATAACGCAGTAGTTTTACTTGTTTATTTTAGTAGTTTAGTTATAAAAATAAAATGTTTTAAAGCAAGCTCAAACACAGGATTTTTAAAATTATTTTTCCCAAATTCAGCGCATCAAAATTAGTTTAGGATATTTTGTATGTAAAAAAAAAAAAATTTATTTTATTTTAAGGTCATTTTAAGATCCTGTCTCAGTGTCTCGATGTTTTTAGGTACCTACTGTGTATATGACACATAATAGTTATTACACACTGACAATTTATGTATAGATACACATTACACACACACACGACAGTTCACATACGGAATGCGAAACGCATAATATTATGAATTCCTTATGATGTATATAATTATTATTATTATTTTTAAACGTCGTCGAAGGTCACGTTGTTTTAATATGAAATCAATTTTTTTTTTTATCTTTAAGTGACTGTATCATATTGCGCTTAAAAAGCCATTACTCGCGGACACGGCAATGCCATTTTGCCGCCTCTTTTTTTTTTTTATCTAATTGGACGATATAGAAAAATTGTGACGTTCAACAAACAAAAAGGCTTAAATATAAATAGCTAGCTAGCTTCTACCGGCTTTAGATATAAAACATCTATTGTAAAAACTCGAAGACGATAACTTCTTGAAGAAACCTCATTGGTTTTTTAAATAATAATATAATAAATAAGAGTTGATACTGTTTCAAGCGAGTATACAAGTGTTCTACTTTTGGCTATACAACACATATGTAGTTACGCAAACTGTATAGACTAATAATCTAATATTATGTGCTGTTATAATTTGTTACGGTTGTTTATTTTATAGTGTTAATTATACAAAATTATATAAAATAGGGTTTTCAAGTCCGTGATACCGAATTTTTTAGCAGTTAATTTTAATTGGCAACAACTTATGGCATAAATTTATTGAAATAACAAAATAAAATCTTATCCAGTATCCTTGGTAAATTAAAACTAAAAAAGGTTTTTATCACAGGATTTCTTTCCCTTTTTACGTATAACAATTTTGCATTACAACTTTAAAAAAAAATTCATAATTTCTTCGTTGTCCAGGGGTCCGCGTGCTGATGTTAGGGAGTCCGTGGTGGTGTAGTTTTGAAGTGATATTTTAATTTTATTTTAGTGGAATTATTAAACACGTAGTGGTCTAAAATTCCAGATTTTTTTGAGCAATCACTATTGAAACTCGATTATCACAAAAAAAGTCGAGAAATATATGTATATATTATTTATCTATTATTCACGTGGAGCTACACTGATTATTTTCTTCTTATTATCCGATAAAATATACTGTGGACATAAATTATTATATAAACCAAATTTTCAACATTAATCAGTTTAGTTTTAGTCATTGTCATTACTAGTCAGCGGTTAATGCAGTGTGTATGTTTTTATATATTATATTTTGAAAGTTAATCATAAACGAATAACCATAATGTATCCGGTGGCGTGTATAGGTTTTTTTTTCGGAGGGTCCAATTATTTATATCCCTTTTTTTTGGGGGGGGGGAGGGGACTCATTATTTGGACAAAAATTGCTTGAATGTTATAACACGTTTCGACCGTCTTTTCGCCATCAGAAAAATGAAAAATCAATTTTTCTAATGAACTGCAATATATAAAAATATAAAACTCTACATTGAAATAAAACATTTTTTATTAGAGTCACTTAAATTAAAATTGAACATATTATATTTCCATATGAGAAAAAAACTTATAAATAAATGGTTTTGGATCTATAGAAAAAAAAAAAATACAAGACAAAATCAAGATTTTTTCGGTACACTAGCAAACTTATTAAGAACATCTTCATCGCTTACATAAATGTCTCTGTGAATGGATAACAAAGCTAAACTATTCAATCTGGTTTCAGATGTTGTATTTCTCAGATACGTCATTAGTCTTTTTAAAGTCGAAAAACTTCTCTCAACAGTGGCAACAGAAACGGGCAGAACTGCTAATAATTTTAAAAGGGTATATATATTGGGAGGTAAGTTATTATCACATGGGTCGTATCATTGATAAGGATAATTCACGAGGCCAAAAATAGATTTGATACAGTGGGGTAACCACGTTCATCAGTGCGGCGCGATGTCACTATAATAGTCACAGAATAAATTTATTCAATGTAATAACTATACGCATAGATACTATATCGATATTTTTCGTTTACTCCCGCTGCCACAACGTCCCATAAAAAGCATAGCAACAAAAATCAACAATTTTTAATACCTGTGTTTTTCATTTCGGAGGGAGCCCGAGCCCCCTCGGCCCCTTCTATAAATACGCCACTGAATGTATCAGTGGTTGAAATCTGGTTAACTTAAAAGGCCTACAAGTGACACTGAAGAAGATAAACACTGTTAATGTTATTAATGAATAATATTGATACTGATTTAAGAGTTAAATTATCCAGCATGCAGCCAAACTTGGACGAGATTATGAACAAAAAAAGAAAGGTTTTACTCGTCTCATAAAGTTCAAAAATTAATGCAATAACTAATTTAAGTAACTCATAATTAAATTGTAAAAGTTAATTTGTATGGTTAGGTAGTAATGTTGTATGTAAAATCAAATAAATCTCTTTGTATTGTATTTATTGAGAAAATCTGGGTTTATAACGTTTTTATTATTACAAAAAAGTACTTATGAAAACTTTTTGAAAAGTAAGTATTCACAAATAAGGGGTCTTCCGTCCAATTTAAGTTTTAGCTAGGCTCAATGCTAATTGAGAACCACTGGTCTAGTGCATAGGATATTAAGTAAAGGACCTAAGTAAATAGACCTTATACTAATAGACAAGTTTTTGTACACGTAGAACACGGTCATAAATAGAGGGCGCTCTTGACGTATGACTTGTGACTCTTACGTGGTATAATTGTACATTGTACTACAAATACAATGACAAAACTGATGTGACTATACTGTACACTGTAGTATGTCTGACCGGTTACTACTCTATAGGTAAGGTCTATCAGTAATGGTTCGGTACTTGGAGGCGTTTTCAAAAGCAGTTAAATTTTTTTTACGTTTTTATTTCTTTTTTTTCTTCTATATAAAGCCAAATATAAACTAAAAATAACTCGAAAGTTTTTAAATGCCAAGAAGTTCATAATACAAGTATACAGGGTGATTTTTTTTATCATGAATCAGAAATTTTCTCAGAGAATTTTAAGAGAATTTGATTTCTTTTTTTTTTTAATTATGGAATCGGTTAAGCTTTATTTTAGAATAATTTTAAATTGTCTACCTTTACTACATATACCTTAAATAAGTATACATTTTTGTTTTTCAAATAGAAACGCCATTTTTAAACTCATATTTGAATAGAAAATATCTTTCTAGAAATATTAATATGCATAACACTTATATCAGATTTACAATTTATGAGTTTTAACCATTTAAAGTTTAGACTGTATACAATATATGCTACTATTTGCTGACGATCTCAAAGTTTTTCGTATTATTAAAACGTCTAATGATGCCGCAATGCTTCAAAACGACTTGAACTACCTCTGTGATTGGTGTGGCCAAAATAAGTTATATCTAAATAATAGTAAATGTAAGGTAATGACTTTCTCGAAAAAGCGATCCCCATACTTTCACAGTTACTATTTAAATGATCTTGTACTCACTCGTGTTAACCTAAATAAGGATTTAGATAATAGTAGTACCGGTTAATTCGTGCAATTTTCTAACAGATNTCTGAAAATGTCGAATTTTGTGCCGAATAAAGTGTTTTTGCGGGGAGTACTTCTTCATTACTTCAATATGAAGAAAAAGGCTGCCGAAAGTCAAAGTATTTTAGTGGAAGTGTATGGGGTGCATGTTCTAGCTGAGCATACGTGCCAGAAGTGGTTTGCAAGGTTTAAAAGTGGCAATTTTGACTTGGAGGACGATGAACGGCCCGGACAGCCAAAAAAGTTTGAAGATCACGAATTGGAGACATTGCTCGACCAAGATCCATCTCAAACGCAAGAAGAACTTGCAAAATCACTTGGCGTCGCTCAACAAACCATTTCGAATCGTCTAAAAGCAATGGGAATGATCCGGAAGGTAGGCCATTGGGTGCCGTATGAATTGAAGCCAAGAGACGTCGAACGCCGATTTTTCGCGTGTGAACAACTGCTTCAACGGCACAAAAGAAAATGTTTTTTGCATCACTGGCGATGAAAAGTGTGTCCATTACGATAATCCAAAACGTCGGGAAACGTATGGATACCCCGGCCATACATCATCATCGACGGCCCTTCAGAATATTCATGGCCTGAAGGTTATGCTGTGTATTTGGTGGGACCAGCTGGGTGTGATCTATTATGAGCAGTTGCAACGGAATGAAACGACCACAGAGGAAGTCTACCGACGACAATTGATGCGTTTGAACCGAGCATTGAAAGAAAAACGGCCAGAAACTGAGACCAGACACAATTATGTAATTTTGCAACATGACAATGCTCAGCCACATGTTGCACAGGTCGTCAAAACCTACCTTGAAACACTCAAATGGGATGTCCTACCCCACTCGCCGTATAGTCCAGACCTTGCGCCATCCGATTACTATCTCTTCCGATCAATGCAACATGGTCTGGCTGACCAGTACTTCTCCGATTATGAAGAAGTCAAAAATTGGATCGATTCGTGGATAGCGGAGAAGCCGGCCGAATTTTTCAGAAAGGGTATTCGCGAATTGCCAGAAAAATGGGAAAAGGTTATAGCTAGCGATGGAAAATGCTTTGAGTATTAAATTTGTAACCATTTTTTCACAATAAAGCTTCAATTTTCGAAAAAAAACCGCACGAATTAACCAGTACACCTTTTATTTATTTCGATAATTCACTCTCTTTCAATACTCATTGCACACACATACAAAGCAAAGCGTCATCGATGTTAGGTTTTACAACCAGAAGCTGCAAAGACTTCAAAAATCCTATTGCGTTAAAGTCACTATATTGTGCGTATGTATGTTCAACTCTCGATTACAATTCTATAGTTAGGTCACCGAGTGCAGTAGATTCAATTACAAGCCATAGAATCAATAGATCTCCGCTTCATTTTCAAATTAGTTAATGCAAACATTTATTGTCCTGGTCTACTTGCCAAATTAAGTTTTAATATTTCAAATCGTAGCACCAGACAATCCAATACTTTTTATGTACCATTTCAGTCAACAAACTACAGTCAAAATGCTCCTGTTAATATATGTATGTTATTAATTAATAATTATAATTCCGATCTCTTTTTATGTACAAGTATAAATGCTTTTAATATATATTTAAATTGTTACCATCCTAACTAACTAACTATTGACATAACCCTTTATAATTGATATAAGATGCTATTTAACATACATACCTAAATTTGGATGATTTTATTTTCTCTATTATGTAATTAACTATTAATGTACAATTATCGAATCCAATAAACCAGGTCCATCCGTCTTTTAATTTACAATGTTTCCTTTTCGACCATGATAACCTCGTGTAATTTCACATCGTCATTTTGAAGTGTATCATATTGTGTTTGTTATTCAAAAACAAAAGGTACTATATTATCTCTTTAAAATGTGTATTTAAAAAAAAAAAAAAATAATAATAATAAAATAATAGTGCTTTAATGCAGTGGTCGGCAACCAGCGGCCCGCGAGTCTATTAAATACGGCCCGCTTTAAATTCTATAACAACGAAATTTAATTTAATATCATATCAAAAATTCATATTGTATAAATAGAATTGAACGTTTCTATCAGTCATATTTTATAATGGTAGATATACCTTGACAGTTATCGATAAGATAAGATAAGAGTAGAAACAACGAGTGTATTTGGGTTATAATCTTAATTTTCGATGGTGTTCAGTAAAATTGCGTTTTTCGTACGGGTATGTGCGGTTTGCATCTTGTGTAGTTTTCATAATATTGTAATTTCGATTTTATATTTATAGTGATCGTTTATTTGGATGTTAATTTAAATTTTAAACTAATTATAATGAATGTTAGTAAAAAAAGAAAAATAGATTCTGAATGTCGTGTATTTCAGCATAAATGGATCAATCAATACTTTGTTATTGAAAATAAAGGAAGTCATGTGCCTTGTTTGTCGTGAATTAATTTCTGTATTGAAAGAATACAATATTAAACGGCATTATGAATCCAAGCATAAAGTTAAATATGACTCCTTAAACGAACAGTTCAGAGAAATTGAAGTTAATAAACTACAAAAAGCTCTAACGTTACAAATGTTCTTCATAAGGTGCACAAAATTCCATTACCACTCTTTTTCGTTGACCTGGAACCTTCCCCTCAATCAAATGCCATCTATAAACTGACCTCCAAGCTCCACACTAAAATTAAAGTAGAGGAGCCCTATAAACCTAAGATAATTAGCCAGTGCTTAAATTGTCAAGAATACGGCCACAC